TGTTAAAAAACTTAAGATTTAACAGTTCCTTAAAGGCAAGATATTCCGACCTCTGTTTAGGGGGTATAACTAGCCCAAGTGCATATATTTTAAAGACATTGGTAGATGGATTGAGACCTAGGCATCTTCTTAACATGTGGTTCTGAAATGTCATAATTTTCGTATTAATGTATTTTGGGGCATGAGACATTGATGCCCGAGCATATTCGATTTTTGAGAACACTATAGATTTGGTAAGATTTATGGCGATATCTGGTTTTAAGCCACCCTTAATTGGCGTAAGCATTTTAACTGCTCTGGTAGCAGAGTGTGTCTCCGAAATTGCATTTTCGAAGTGATCCTTCATTGTTAGGCTGTTTTTGATATGTCTCCCAAGAAATTTAAGGCAGTTGACATTTACTATCCGGCTGTTATCCAGGGTAAGGTCAATTTTCCGACGGGCGCCTTTGGCAACATACATTGCGACCGTTTTTCCAGTGTTCAGTTGAAGGTTAAGATCATTAGCAGATGAATTAAATTGTGTGATTTTATGTTGTAGGTTGTTCACAGCAGTGCTGAAATCTTTATGAATAGAGACAATCACGAAGTCATCCGCAAACTGAAATAAGTGAGTCATTTCATCAGCAAAGTCATGCAGTTGGGCTGTGTAAATATTGAAAAGAAGAGGACTTAGGCAGCTACCCTGGGGTAGTCCGTTAAAGATGTCCACCTGACTATTACCCAGTACAAATCTGCGATGTCTGAGAAATTCAGTTACCCAGAGTATCCAGTGTTGAGGGCAGGAGAAATGTGCAAGTATAGATTGAAGCCGGCTGAGATTGACACAGTCGTAAGCCTTTGAAATATCCAGTGCAACTAGGGTGACCTTTAGATTGTGTTCCTTCGCTGTGCAAATTGTATGTAACAGATCATTGATACAGTTTGATGCGGATCGATGTTTCCTGTATGCATATGATCTTTTCGGAAGTATATTTTTCTCCTCGATAAATGTTGAAAACCTGTTCTTTAGCATCAGATTAATGATCTTGAGAAAGACCGAAATTAGGGCAATCGGGCGATAGCTTGTTATAAGTTCAGGATCCTTATTCTTTTTGAATATAGGAACAATTCGTATGGACCTCCAACTGTCACGAATAATCGTTAGTCTCCAGTGTTCATTAATGGCTGTTAAAAGAGCATATGTTGACTGGGGGGGTAGTTTCCTAATCATTGAGTAAGTGACGCCATCAATCCCAGCAGCTGTTTCCATAGTCTTTCCCTTAAGGATGTGTGATAGTTCCTGAAGCGAAAAAGGTTTGTCGTGATTATCTATGGTGATTGTAGATTGAGGGCTAAATGAGTTATTAGGGAGGTGGTCCCGAATATATTCCAAAAAGTTGAGGTTGTTGTCCTGATTCCATTTTGATGCGAAGTTTTGAGAGCCAAAATTTTTGCAAGCTCTAACAAATTTGTAGAATTGTTTGCTGTTTGATATATTGTTAAGTTCTGCTGTTTTGGAATCAAAGGCAGTTCTCTTAGCACGAGCTACCTCCTTTTGGAAATTTTTAATAGCTTGGTTTAAGGTGTTGGCGTTTTCAGAAATTTTTCCTGAGGTTAAATGTTTTCTGAGCTGCTGTTTTCAATCTATACCATTTTTCCACATCCTTGTTCCACCAGCCCTTAGGAGTCCTACGAGCGTTGTTGTTGATTTTCATAATGGATTGATTTATAATCGTTTTTGTAGTTGATTCAATAAAGTCAAAGTTAGGTAGGAAGACCGTACGACTAAATTCACTAAGGATCTTTTTCTTGGACAAAAAGTTTGTTGCAAGCTGGGAGATTTCCTCTATGATGATATGTACCGGCAAGTGGTGACTTCCACCTATCGTAGACTGAACGACATACCAGTTGATGGATAGATGTGAATTTGTATAGGTGAGATCAAGGACAGACCCACGACATAGAGGGTCAGTCAATGATTTTTTGAAGGTAATACTTAGGTCATTGATACAGGTAAAGGGAGAGGATGCCATAATGGCCTGTAGAGCTTTGCCACGGTTGCAGTCAACAGAATCGCCAAGCGCTATTAGCCGGGAGTTAAAATCGCCACAGATAAACACATTGTTTTTTGGTTCGAGAAAATCGATTAGTTTAGCCATCACAACTTTGAATTCTCCGATTCTAATGCTGGGTGGAAAATATACAGAAACTATTGTGAGATTCGTAGAGAGGTTAGTTGTTTCATAAATGAGGATTTCGAAAGAACTTTGAAAAGATACCTTTTTGGTTTTTATGGATTTCTTGAACAAGCAGGCCACTCCGCCATAATTGTTATTAGCACGTTTTTTCATAAAAAGATTGTAGTTAATAAGGCTGCCAAGATTTGAATTGTCGTCAAAGTTGAAAATTTCGCTTAGTACACAGATATCGATGTTGGACCTATTTAGATAATGTTCAAGAGAGTTTTTGTTTCGGGTAAGGCTTTGAATATTGTATTGTAGAATACGAACCATTTAAGAGTGTTATATAATATTGTGAAAACGGGAGGGAGTGTATACAGATAAAAAAAAATTAGGTAGTAGATTTGGAAGAGCCTGGCTCAGTTTCCTCGATCTGATTTTGGACTTTTATATTAGAAATTGATTTCTTTAAGCCTTCTAAAAGATTGACACCATCATCAGCGTTGATATGGGGTATAATTGAAGATAGTTGAGCAATAAAGTTGGTCATAATCCTCTCTACTTCTGAGACTTTAAAGTGACTGGGATGGGCAAACACAGGGGCTGTGGGAACAATAGTAGTTGGTTGTAAACTGGTAAAGTGAGGTTTTGGACGTAGGGCAGCTACTTTGCTGTATTTGATGCGAGTGACTCTTCGGTTAATTTCATCAAATTGATTTCTCATATTAGTTGGCTGTTTTGAATCAAGGCTGGGGAAATTATCCTTGTATTGATCTTCCGAAAGAATCTCGTAATAGTTTGCATTTAGGGAGTAATTCTGGACTACCTCCTTTCTGGAAAGATTGGAAATAGCCATGATCTCCCTTATGCTCTGCTCTTTTTTCCAGGTTGGACACTTTTTGGAATCAACTGAGATGTGATCCTTAGAATTACAATTTAAACACTTCATCTCCTCGCAAGCTGGTACACAAGTATTGTTTTCTAAACATGAGGGACATCTGTGATCTGTGCATTCTGAGTTGTTACATATAATAGGTCTGCCACAATTCAGGCAGCGTTTCTTAGATCTGCACCTAATAGCAATATGACCAAGGCGGCCGCAGTTTTTGCATTGACGTAGAGGGGGCACATATAGTTCGGCATTCACAATGGAATTAAACATTTTCAGCGTCTTTGGAAAAGCTAGAGATCCAAGGCCAATTTTGATCGTAGAAGAAGGCGAAGGTCTCCCATCTTCGTCATTCCTGTTGTAACGATATACAGAGATAACGTCCAGGCCGTTGTAGTCCTCTATTTCCTCCTGTATTTCCTTTTCGGAGAAAGATGTAGGGACATTCTTGACAATAATGTATCTTTGAATGAATCGATCCGGTATGAATGCTCTCAGGTTGATTTTCTTCAATTTTTCATTTAGAACAAAATTGTTAGCTTTCTCAGCACTATCAAAAGTCAGTCTGAATAGATTAAAACCTACCTCCTTGATCGTCACATTGATTATAATGTTGTTTTTCCTTAACTTTTCATGAAGAAAAAGTTCAATGTTTTTCCTTGAGTTTGACAATTTTTCACTAGACTGTACCAGCACGTTGAAAGGACCGGTGTGGGTTGCAGGATACCAATTTATTATATCAGCATAATCAGAATTGTTACTATTTTCCGCAATGTTTGAATTTGCATTGGATTCAGTTTGATTTGAAACATCACTGCTGTTCTCAGTCGATGATAAAGGATGGGTGCCACCAATTGGGTCACCTAAATTGTTCTTAAGTTGTTTAGATCCTCCGATTTTCACAGACCCCTCGAGAGGTCGCTTCGAACCACTTGGAGGTGGACCTTCCTCCTCCTCCATTGATCGTGGTTACTACACTTGTGTCTTGCACTTTGGAAAATCAAGTCAGGCACACTTGATCAAAAGAAAACAGACAGAAATTAAGAATGATTTTCTCTGTTATTTAGAGTCTCTATCTCTTAAAAAAGAAAATTCGATCAATTTATATTTCACAGTTTCGTTCTTTGTAATTTCCATACACCGATTTATTTTTTATAATATTTTTTCCAAGTCTTTATCTTTTAAAAGAACCGTTATTTGTGTCTATGGCATGTAGAAGAAACAACAACACCATAAAGAAACTAGAAAAAGACGCGCTGCGATCAAAACACAACCTATCCCAACAAGGGCACATTTACTTTTTTTTTTAATTTTTGTACAAACGAACAGCAAGCATTTGTACAAACACGAAACACCCTCATACACTACACACAGGCTTGTGCAAACAGGCTTGCACAAATATTGGTACGTTTGTCAAGCCGCTTGTGTAGTCTATTTGGGCCTTAAGTTTATTTTCAAATGTCTCTGTTGAAATCAATTTTTTGAAGACGCTAGACATTTTCGGTGTCCAAATCATCAATAATACTGTCAGGCATGCTTTCCTATTTAAAATCAGTAAAATCCGTCCAAATCCAAGACAACTTCTGAACATTCCATTTAAAAAAGTGATTTTTTGCATGCTTTGACAAAAAAGCAACAACAATATTGCTTATTGTTAAGTTAATTTTATAGCTTCGCGTTGTTTTCTTGACTTTTTATTGCTAAAGTAATGGTAGTCCGAAAAAAATTAAATTTAAATTTTATAAAATTAAACTCTTTTAAACATACGAATATTAAACTCTTACTTGTTTATCATGAAAACGATATTAAGTAACGTTTTTCATAATAAAAATGTATCTAATCTAGACAGGGGTTATTGAAAATATATCAATTGAAAATAAACAACTCTGACAACTCGCGTAGATATGGCAACGCTTATTGTTATTGTAATTATTGACATAAACAAAGCCGGAACTCTTTTCAATATTTCTTATTATTGTGAAGTAAACGAAAAACATTTGGAAATTTTAGAGAATTATTAAAATTATTTTGTTTGAGTTTATAATATGTTTAAAAATACTTTTCAATCTGGATTCTTATCCATTTTATATAGCATTGGAAGTAAGCCTCTCCAAATATGGGACAAAAAAGTAAGAAATGGTCACATTAAACGTATCACGGACAACGATATACAAAGCTTAGTTCTCGAAATAGTTGGAACTAATGTGAGTACTACGTTCATAACGTGTCCCGCTGATCCAAAGAAAACTTTAGGTATAAAATTGCCTTTTTTGGTAATGATTATAAAAAATATGAAAAAATACTTCACATTTGAAGTTCAAGTAAGGAAATAATGAGATAGTTGTCCATGTACAAATATAAACTTTAATTTTTTAAGGTACTAGATGATAAAAACGTCAGGAGACGTTTCAGGGCAAGCAACTATCAATCAACAACACGCGTTAAGCCATTTATTTGCACTATGCCAATGCGATTAGACGAAGGATGGAATCAAATTCAATTCAATCTATCTGATTTTACAAGAAGAGCCTACGGTACAAATTACGTCGAAACCTTGCGAGTACAAATACATGCAAATTGCCGAATCCGACGAGTTTATTTCTCGGATCGTCTTTACTCTGAAGATGAATTACCACCAGAATTTAAATTATTTTTACCCATACAAAAACCAATGCAAAAGACCACTGCCCAGGCTATTTGCAGCTAGAAAAATCAACACAATTTTGTACATAACCATTGAATAATAACAAACTCAAGTTTTACTATAACTTTTAAAAATTTAATCCGACAATGTTAAAATTTCATGACTAGATTCTGTGATAAGTATAGTGTGCTCAAATTGGGCACTTCTTGCACCATCGACACTTATTGCTGTCCAGCCATCTTCTTGAATTTCAATGTCGGGCCCACCCAATGTTAATATAGGTTCTATAGTGAATGTCATACCGGCGATCATCTTTCCCGGCATTTTATTCTCTAAAAAAAAGCGATTTAGAAAATATAATAACAGTGTTAAGGTCATCTTACTAAAATGTAGTATTTCCGGAGGTCCGTGAAAATAGCTTCCAATACCATGGCCAATAAATGCGGGTATTGTGTTTAGTCCAGATTTTTTGCAAAAATTGTGCACATAATTTCCAATCTTGTTAAACTCCACATTTGGTTTGCACAAACTAATACAGCCGAGAAGGCACTCTTCAGTCTTCTGCACTAAGTATAGACCTCGCTCATCCACATTTCCAACTAAAAAAGTTTTTGAGCAGTCACCATGGAAGCCATTATAAAACACAGTTATGTCAACATTTATAATGTCACCATCTTGCAACGGCCTATCATCAGGTATGCCGTGACATGCAACATTATTAACCGACGTACAAATGGATTTAGGGAATCCGGCATAACGAAGTGGCGATGGGTAAGCCTTTGCTAAAATAATTTTTTCGTGAACAAACCTGTCGATCTCGTCTGTAGTAACACCAACCTGTTACAATTGTTTAGATAATCTAATATTTAATATACATATTTTGTTAAGTGTGTACGTACTTTAATAATTTCCTGACACGATTTAAGAATATTGGCTGCTAATCTACAACTTTCCCTCATTTTTACAATTTGCAATTCGGTTTTTATTTCAGGTAGTCCCAACGTATTGCCGGGTCCCATAGACCTGTGATAGTATTCTGGTACATTTATATCATTTGGGACAACTCGTTCCGGTGAGACATTTCCTATCAACACAGTATTACACTTTCCAAAATCACTTAAAAATTATTGTTGATTTTATAATATTAATATTACATATTTTATAAACATACTTTTTTTTCTTAAAAAAACTTTGACTTATTTGCCGGTGGGCAATTTTAAATAATAGCGACCTCATTTTCAATTTATAACTAATAACTAAATAAATTGTAGATTTACAAAGTAACTTTTCCTCAGATTTTCCATGAATATTTTAAAAGTAGGGTTCTATTTGCTAGTTGACATTTTGCGAACAAAAATCAATGTCTATACTTGACAACTAGGGTTACCAAATTCCCGACGCTTTTAGATTCCCGGGATTCGGGAAAAAAATATTCACATTCCCGGGAACCCGGGAATTCCCGATAAAATAAAAAAAATTATTCAAAAAGCGTTTACGCAATGTTTTTTGAATTTTTTTAACATATCATGTAACTTAGAAATATGTATATATAAAATCCGGGTTAGTAATAGTTTTGAAGCAGTGAAAAGATAAGGGTAACGGTATTTGGATTATTTCGGTAACGTTGTTTTAGCGGTAATGGTAGTGAGATAAGAGAGTATTTTAACGGTCTAATATAGAAAAATTATTTAAAAATAATATAATATAACGGTAGTTCGGTAACGATATTTTAGAGATAACGGTAGCTGAGGAAACGATAGCTAATCTTTATTTAAATAAAGTAAATAAAATACTTTATTATTTTCTTTGAAGTGTCCCATGGGCAACTTTTTGAAATAATATCTGTCCATTTTTGTTGATAAAATGTGTTACAATAAGCATGGTTGCATTTTTACTAGTTTTAATTCCCGGGATTCCCGACTAAAATTCCCGATAATCGAGAAGCTAAAAATCACTACATTTCCCGGGAATTTTTTCCCGACGCTTCCCGGGAACGAAACCCTATTGACAACACTTAACAAAAGGTAGACTACTGTAAAAATATTTTTATGCTGCTTTTATCATCACAAATCAAAGTTTAGTGGCATAAATTAAGTTCACCAATCCACAAAAATTCGGGATGATTTTTCTATTCTGAGTAAGAATGTCTAAAAATTACCTTATACTTTTTGTATCTCGATTTAATATATTGCAAAATAGGAATTTATCAAATCTAGACACTTGAACAATCAAAAAATCGAGTTTTTGTAAAAAGTCAACTATTTTCTCCAAAAGTCGATAAGTCGACTGTCTTGTGAGAAAATAGTGTAATGTCGAAATAAGTCGTCTTTTTGTAATTAAAATTTGGTTTTTAGATAGTTTTGGTTATTATTATTACAAAATTTATATTTAATTTTAAATTCCTTTAAAAATTTAACATTATTTCGGTTTATCGTGATAGCAGCATATTTGATACCCCTATGCTTTAATATAGAAGAAACACAATTATTCTGCTGCTGTTTTGTTAAGTGTCATGATAAATCGTCTTAATCTACTAGATTATACTTAAACATGTAGAAAATGCATTTTTAAACATTTAACAAGTTACACACTAGTTTGTAACTCTCCTATGAGAACAGTGACAGTTAAGGCAGAATCCATAATAAAAATATCAAGGATGTGTCATTTTCTTTTTTTGTCGCCATAGTAACCTTCTGATGTTTGCTGGTATTTTAATAAATTGAGGTACCACATTTATTTTGAAAATCCCATTTATTTTTGTTTATTTTTCAAACAAAAATAAAATAAAAATTAATTTAAACTGAAAATCAAACAAAATTTTAAATTCAATAAAAATACAACACTAAACATTTTAATAAATCCGCCAAAAACATAATAGTTTACATCAAGAAATATAATCTCTAATATCAAATTGTTGGACACTAACCCTGTGTCTAGATTAGATACATTTTTGTCTAACGTCAAATTGTTATAATAAAAAAATAGCAAATACATACGGCATTTATTATCGTTACCCCATGTTTATATTGGACAAATATTTATCACGGCACTTGACGAAACGTCGGCAGAAAAATTGTCAGTTAATGCATAAGAGTAACAAATTGCTGATTTTATCACGACAACATACAGATTATTTTATTGAAATAAGGCTATTTTTATAAAAACAATAACAAAAAATTAAATAAACACTAATTTCACTAAAACTTATGTTAAAAATCAATTCTAATTGCACAAAAACAAAATTCTAAACAAATTTTACAATAAAATGACGTTTGTTATCAAGACTACAATTGTTTAGGCAACATTGTCATAACGATGCTATAACGCTAATAAATGCCGTCTGTACCTGCTAATTTTTTATCATGATAACAATTTGTCGTTTAGCATAACAAAAATTTATCTAATCTATCTTTTGTTTTTGTTCAATTAAAATTGATTTTTAACACAAGTTTTAGTGAAATTAGTGTTTATTTACAAAATTTGTATTTAATTTTAATTGTTTTTATACAATATAACATTATTTCAATAAAATTATCTGTGAGTTGTCGTGATGAAATCAGTATTTTGTTACCCCTATGCATTAATTCTCTCTCTCTCTCTGTTAAATTTTTTTTTTAAGTTTATTTGTATTTTTGATATTTGTATTTTATAAACAAATAGAAAAATCCTTGTCATATATGAAAAATGGGAAACTAGTTTTAAAGAAATTTTTGTAGTGTATGTGGAATTTATGCTCATGATTGCTAAAATGTTTTAGGTCCAGCCATAACCGTTGTTGAGCTCGCCCTATTTAGTTTGTTAGTCAGTTTGAAAAGTGGATATATGTTTCATCAGACCTGAAGAAATACAGCTCGGTTTACACCGGGCCTGTTGTGCTCTACTTTATTAGTGTCTCTGGTGGATCGAACAACAGAATAGAATACTAAATTCATCTAAACATTGCAAACTTTTGTAGCACTGACACAGGGTATACAGAGGTGTCACGAGCAAAAAACTATTTCCCTCTCTTTCGCACAAAACGAATTCAACAATTTTTTTAGCTGTATTTTATATACCTCTTCTCACCAAACAATTTCAAAATCAAACAAGAGCTGATTTTAGACTTTTTTAAATGTCAAAAGTGGCACCTCAGTATACTTTGTGGCACTGAACACCAAGAAATGAAACTGCGACGTTTTTTTACAACAATGGCGTTAGGCTCTTCTCACAGACGAGTTCTGTCCCTACAAACATTTTCTATTGCGGAAGTTACCCGTGTGAAACTTCCAAACCTGTAAAAGCTCGCCAGCGATATTGCGGAAGTATACGAATTCTTGTCACCAGTCGGGACGAACTGATGCCGAGTTGGGAGCGTAACGTGGAAGATACTTCTGGAAGACCCGCAAAAGAAACTTCTCTTGGAAGTAAAGTATTGCCAAAGACTCTTCTACATGTGACTAGGAAGTCACTTCTTGAAGTGACTTCTTAGTATCATCTAGAAGTGTTCCTATTTTATCTTGTAGAAGATGAGTTTTCTCTTCTTCTATTTGTATACTCACCAACATAAAATCTATAAAAATAAATCTAAATAAAATTAAATTTTATAGTTTTTATTGAAGGAGGAAATCACTCACTCGCCAGAAGACAGAACAGCAGTGCTGTACAAAATTGGGAAAGTGTCGATTAAAAAGACTGCTCTTCCTATGCCTGATAAGAACACCGCAATGCCATCAATGGTACCCACTGCATCAATAGCCACTTCAGGTTACCCGGAGGAGTCAAATCCAACGAGCGGGGATGTGATCACTAGCTCGCTGGAAGACCATTTGAATGGATGATAATGTTTGAGGTTATCAAAATAAACCTCCATCGGAGCGAGACAGCTACCAACGCTCTGATGGCTAAAATTAACACAGGTAAGATACATATAGCTTTAATCCAGGAACCTTGGACGATTCGCAACAAGGTTTCAAGATTAAATCACGTAAATTTCCAACTTTTCTACGCTGATACAGTGTCTCGACCGAGAACATGTATCTTATGTCACAAGAATTTATGTTTTCTCCTCTCAACAGGATTATCAACATCGGATGCAACGGTGCTGAAGTCGTGGCAACATATTCCTTGCATCTGTTTACCTGCCCTTCGATTCTCCGACACTACCACCAACGTCGGATCTGATGAAACTGGTTGAATTGTCACAAAGGAAAAATAAGAAAATTGTAATAGGTTGTGATGCCAACTCCCACCATGTAGCTTGGGGTAGTACAAACACCAATCGCAGGGGACAAGCCCTCATGGATTTCCTTAATGCTAAAGACTTGATAACATTGAACTTAGGTAATAAAGATACCTTCGTCAATAGAATCAGAGAAGAAGTATTAGATATAACTATATGTTCAGAAGAGCTTATAACCAAAATTCAGGATTGGAGAGTTTCCGACGAGCACTCACTCCTTTTCTGACGATCGGTACATAAGATTCAAAATACTACGGCCACCACCAAAGCCGATAAAGTTTCGGAATAAGGGCGGAGATCTGCCCAGGAGAAACCCTGGGTAACCGGGGAGATCCGGAACCTTGGTAAGACTCTTCGCAAACTATTTAACCGGGCACGGCGTAAAAAGACCGCAGTATACGGGGATGAGTATCGTAGTAAACTTGGTGAATATAAGAAAATTGTTCGTAAAGCCAAGCGAGACTCCTGGAAACTTTTCTGTGAACAGGTAGACAGCGTAATTGACGTATCGAAGATAAAAAAATTCCTATCCAAAACTCATGTCAAACCAGAATCTATGGTCGATGATACGGGCAGGAGGCTGGAGGATATGGAGGAGACAATGAAACTTACATCTGATATGGTTAAAGGGGCAATCAAGAGCTTCGCTCCCTATAAATCTGCAGGGCCGGATGGCATTTTCCCGGCACTCTTACAGATGGAGGCGGGACTGGTTTCCGTACATCTGTCTCAGATATTCACTGCATGCTTGAAATTCACATATACCCCCATTAAATGGCAGGATGCAAGGGTAATATTTATACCTAAACCAGGGAAACCTAGCTATTCGACACCTAAGTCTTATCGACCGATAAGTCTTACGTCCTTCCTACTTAAAACTTTGGAACGGATAGTTGATAGTATAGTGAAAAGCAGTATACTCGACAAAGACCTAAAATTTAAGCAGCATGCGGTTTCCACGATCGGTGGAAACCGCTTTAAATGAAGTTGTCCACTACATAGGTGCATCCTTTGATAGCAAACTGTATACACTGGCGGTATGCATTGACATTGAAGGCGCCTTCAATAACGTGCACACTGATACTCTTATCCAATCCCTACACAGAGGGAAAAAGAAATATACACGCTTGGTACCAAATTGGCACCAAAGAGTTTGTAATTTTTCAATAACAACC